ACCGTCAAATTGGATCTGACTGGTGCAGGAGGAGATTGCCCCTCCTTCTCCAGCAGAGAACCTGGTGGAATCGAACCGCACACCTCTGGGATTGCAGTGAAACGTCTTTTTTTTTTAAATTTTATTATTTTTTGTGTGTACCATCAAATCAGATCTGACTGGTACAGGAGGAGATTGCCCCCTCCTTCTCCAGCAGAGCATCTGGTGGAATTGAACCGCACACCTCTGGGATTGCAGTGAAACGTCTTGCCACTAGGCCACCAGAGCTCCCTTGGAGTAAGAATTTTTGAGAATGCCTATTGGGGTCGAATTCGGATAAAAAGCTGGAAAGCAAGAGCAAATAAGGTACCAAGACGTGACGGGGGAAAGCATGACAAGCTGAAGTTTTAACAGTTACGTCCAGTTAAAGAGGACAAAGAAGGTTGTGGGGTGGATAGGGCAGAAAAGGCTAGCAGGACCCAGAGCGAGAAGACGGAGGCGTTTTCATTTTATCCTAAGATTGTCTAGTAGGAAGTAAGTGTCCTGAGGTCCTGAACGATACTGTTGTTCTTGATTGCCTTCGAGTAGAACATGACTCACAGCGACCCTATGAACAAAAGTCTTGAAGCCCCTCTACAACTATCAACATCCATCGAAGTTCTTAAGAGTTTCAGGAGGCACGTGATTTAGGAAGTGGATGCCACTCCTGCTTCCAAACCTGTTAATAGTATGTTATTGTTGTCATGTGCCATTGAGTCGCCTGTGATGCATAGAGACCCTATGGACAGCAGCTCTGAAGCCTTTCCTGTTCTGAGCCAGTCTCAGTAACTGACACACCAACCCCCTTTGCCCCAGTTACTGTATCAATCCATCTCATCCGGGGTCTCCCTCTCCTGCGCTGTCCGTCCACCCTTCTGAGCACGATGTCCTTCTCCAAGGACCGATACTGGTGGGAATACCTTTTCTAGGGCCCACCTAAATTGGGAGAGGTCACCTGACTCACACAAACACCGCTGTGATTATGAAAGGTGGTAACACAAGCCGTATACACAAGGTCTAGAGACGCAGTGATCAGCCCATGCTCTGCCGTAACTAGACTGATGATTCAATTAAAAATAGAGGAAAAGGAAAAAATAGAGGAAAAGTGAGGGGCCAAATGTGTTTTGGTCTTTCTTTTCTTTCTTCCTTCCTTCCTTCC